GGTGCCCTGTGTCCTCAGAGGAAGAGATCAGCATGCACACAGAGGGGGACCACCCTGTGAGGACACAGAAGACGACCACCTGCAAGCCAGCAGAGTCTTCAGGGGACACCAGCCCTGCAGACACCTGAATGACCTTCAGGGAGGAGACAGGAAGGGACTTACATGGGATCCTTGAACGTCACACCTGTCCTGTTGGTGATCTTGATGCCCACAGTACGGGAGCCTCGGACGTCTACCACTGTGTCCTCCAGAGAACACTCCTCTTCATCCCCAGCTGGGAGCTTTGGGTCCTCGCTGAGATCCAAGCAAGAAGCTGTGACTTTCCCCCACAGGGACCTCTGAAGCCTGGGCAGCTACTAGTGAGACACAGCAGGGAGGACCCCGATGCCCCCTGAGGTTCCCACCCAGAGCCGCTGCCTTCAAACACATTTCCCCCAGTGACAGATTCAGGAGCTGCTGAGTCTCCCAAGCTCTGCTGCAACCCCACCTCCAGCCCACACAACGTACCTGAACTTGAACTTGACTTCTTGGTAGAGCCCTCCTGGGCTGGAGATGGTGAGCTCCTCCACCTCTCCTGAGCAGAGCTCCTCAGGGACCCTGGAGCTTGAGCAGGTCTCTGTGCCAAGGGCTGACCCAGGTGCCAAGGGCAGAGAACTGACAAGACAGGGCACAGTCCTGCACCGTGGCAGCTCTGGCCCTGCACCTGCACAGCCTGTCTTGTCCTGTGCGCCCACTGTACCCCTAGGGTCCAGGGAGCAGTGCAGGGCCCTGTCCCGTGTGCTGCCTCCTGAGTGCTGCAGCTTGAGCCCCAGAGAGGCTTCACCCAAATGGTGTCACCTGCCTCCATTTCTATCCCCAACTGAGCAAAGGAACCCAGAGGTGGTAACACTCAGTGCTGGCAGAGGGGACCCAAGGGACTCAAGGCATTCATCAGGGTTGTCCCATGTCTGGCTGAACTGTCAGACCATCAGGGAGATCTCAGGGAACTGGCTGCCCTCAGGTCCTCTAGCCACACACAGCCTCCTCAGTCCAAGGCTCTGACTCAGTTTCCCCAGACTCCTCCTTCCAGGAGGCCCCGTGACCACAGAGCCAGCACAGAATCCACCAGCAGGACATGGACACCTCACCAGCTCCCATCACGGGGGCTCATCTGCCTCCACCCCACACTCACAGCCACCAGGGCACACGCAGTAGCACTGCCACGTCTTAAGGTCCAGAAAGTGGGTTCCTAAGCTCTGCAAGGACCAGAGTCATCAGCAAAGCAGCTGAAGTCATTCCATCCAGGAAAAGAGTCCCCACTAACCCCCTGAGGGCATCCACTTGCTTACTTATGCCCAATTCTCCTGGAGTTTTCTGCATATCCCTATCCAGTGTCTAAGCCTCTGATCAGGCAGAGCCACGCTCTCATGGAGTCAGCGCCCACAGCTGTAGGGACACTGTCCTGAAGGAACCTTCTGCACAGCACAACTCCGGAAATAGCTGTGATTTGACATGTCCTAAATGCCATCCAAAGAGCATACCAGGCCCTCCTTAGAGCTGCAGAAAGCACATTAGGTCACTCAAGCCCCTGATAAGTCCTATAACAAAGAACACTGTTTAAATGTCATCTGGACAGGGGTGACTTTTGCTCTGTGGCGACATGGGAAGTTCTAGAGACAGTTTGATTGTCATGTCTGGGAGGTGCTCCTGACTTCTGAAGGGCAGAGGCCAGGGACTGAAAATCATCTTCCAGTGCCCTGCGAACCCACAGTAGGGCATCATCCAGCCCACACGTCAGCTGTGCTGACAGGGTGGGGGTGGGGGGGGCCTGGGCCACCTGAGAACCAGTGTGTGGGGAGCCCTGCACCTTGTGGATGGGGCTGGGTGTCTGGTGATCCCCAGTGGGACAACCAGAGCCTTTCCAGCCAGCTGGAGTATGGACTCCGTCTTGCAGGAGAGATGGAGAGGTGGAGGCCTGGGAGTGCTGGGCCACTACCTTCCAGTAGGCGCCCACCAGAGAGGCCACAGCTGCAGAAGACAGGAGGTGCCAGTGAGGGGCAGGGACACTGCTGGATATGCTGTGCCATCTGCATTCCCAGATCCCCAGAGCAGGCTTGCATTGCCCTGGGGCCTGGGGCTCCTGATTCTGTGAGATGCACCCACACTTTCCAATCAGCTCCCTTGTCTCTTCAATTGTCTGAGATCAGCTTTTTTGAACCAGGTAAAGATCTCAGCCTTTCTAATGCTCTGAACGTCTCTGAATGACTCAAAGGAGTCACCATCATGGAATTTTGAGGAAAATGCTTGAGAATTAACTGAGAATGATTAAGGACGCCGGCCGTTAACTGATACTTCTGTGTGTCCCTCAGGCTTTACCTACTGACCCTGGAGAGGGGCAGAGCCACTTCCCTACCTTCTCCAGACGGGAGAACTGAGGCCAGAGAGGAACCTGAGGACCTGGAGCTTCCCACCTTGCCTCCCTACGGAGGGACGGAAAGACAGTCTCCTGGGCTCTGTGTGTCCTCTGCTCATCCAGCCTCAGGCCACACAGGAGCCAGGGTGGTCCTCTGAAGACTCCTTGCTCACAACTGGGGCTTCCTGGTACCTTGAGAAGAAAATTCCAACTCCTCCCTGGGTTTCCTCCTCTGGGCCCTGCCTACTTCTCTGTGGCTGCATAGAGACTCCCACAGATGTCCACGTCTGAATCTCTGGAGTGTGAGTATGTCACCTTCATGGCAAAGGACCTTTTCAGGTATGGTCAAGTTAAGACTCCTCAGGTGGGGAGATGGCCCTGGTCCTGGATTATCAGGGTGGGCCTAATGCCACCACACAGGTCCTTCTTAAAAGGGACAAGAGGAGAAGCTGGAAGCAAGAGGTCAAGGCAGAGGCCACAAGCCAAGGAATGCAGACACTGAATGTCCCAGAAACTGAAAAGGCAATGAGGGAACCTCTCCCAGACCCCTCAGAAGGAATCAGCCTGGCCAACACTTTGGATTTAGCCCCCAAGACTCACTTCAGATTTCTGACTTCCAGAACTGTGAGATGACAAAGCTGAGGTTTAAAGTTACTAAGCTGGTGGTCACTTGTTACAGCAGCAAGAGGACACTGATACTGATGCCTCATCTCCTCCACCTCTCTCTCTGTCAGACTCTTCTCCTGCCTCCCTCCACCTCAACTCTACATATGCAGCACCCTTGCTCCAGGGATCTCCACCTCCCCCTCCCCAAGGAGAAAGTGTGGAAGTTGATCCTTCACTTCATTCAGAAACCTTCTCTGATATGACCCTTCAAGTAGCTCGACCTGGTTCTCTCAGTGAACCCCGAGTTGTCTGTCAAATTGTGTCCCCCCAAGTTCCTGTGCTGAGGTCCGACCCCAGCACATCACACTGTGCCCTTCTTTGAGATTCATGTTTAGAGCGGCAGAGTGGAGTGACCTTGCGAGTGAGCTCTAACCCACACAACTAGTTTCCTTACGAAAAGGGGAAATTGTCCCAGAAGACCCAGAGAAGGAAGAGCATGTCAAAGGACACAGGGGGAAGACAGCCATCCCTTCCCAGCCCAGGAGGGAGACCTGGACAACCTCCCCACGCCCCCAGGAGGAGCCAGCCCCGCCCACCGCTGGGCTTGGATTTCTGGCCTCTGGACAGACAGATAGTAAATTCCTGTGTTTAAGCTCCCCAGGAAGCCAGCCACTCTTCATCCCTCCCCCTAGCCCATTCTCTCCCTGAAGGTGCTCACGGTCTCTCTCCATCACAGAGGCAAGTCCCGAGGGACACGGGCCTCTCTTAACCTCTGCAGTCCTCACGCCAGACACAGAGAAAGTCTCCAGCACGTGTTCACCGAGCAAAAGCCAAGGGGAGGGCAGGGTGGCCTGACCCCTACCTGGCCACGTTCTTCACCTCGCTGAGGATCTTCGTCTTGTTCATGCCAACGTTCTTCTTGGACACCTCCAGGAGCTGCGTCACCATGTCCCTGCTGTAGCTGTCGGCCCCCTGGAACGTGCCGTACCTGTCTCTCCATGACGGGATGTCATCTGAAGGAAATCACCCAGGTAGGAACAATGAACTCTGGAATTGTGTCCCCTGACTCCAGGTTTGGCTAATGTCCATGGTGGCCAAATCCAGCCGGCTCCCTACTTGACTTTACAAACAAAGACGGGTTGGCACTTGATGTTATGAAACTTCTCTATATTTTAGTATCTGGGTCCCCTGCCTGCAGAAGCTCCACATGAGGACAGATTTATATTCTTTTCTGTTCATCCACGGCACCTGGAAGAGCAGCTGACACCGCCTGGGTGACGAGCCAATATTTGCTAAGTGAAGAAGGCAGGATGCCCCTTACCTGCGAGTGAGCCTCTCACTGGAGGGCAGAGTGGAGAGGCCCAGAGGCCACTAGAGCCCGGCGTGGGAAGTGGCACCCCGGCCCTGCAGGACTCCCACCCTGCATGCCCCCCTGCTCACCTGAGCCTGGATGATGTGTAGGGTGCCCAGGAGGCAGAGGATGCACAGGCAGCAGGTCAGAAATGCCCCCAAGAGAAGAGGCGGCATGCAAACCACCCAAGGCTGAGACAGTGAGGGCAGTGCCCTCCAGGAGGCCCGGGGGTGGACAGGGCACAGTCCTCCTGCTCACACTCATTGTCCCTCAGTCATTGAAGGGCAAGCCTGGTGCTCTTTGATGGACCTGGCCCTGCCCAGCGCTGCCAGCCTCGTGCCTCCCTACCCCGCCCACCAGTGCTCACCTCCGCAGTTGTCGGTGTTGAACAGGGGGAAGTGCATCACCACGGGCCCAGCCGCCCCTCTCAGGATGTGGCAGCTCCTGGGTGCTCTAGACCACTCCTGGAGCGCAGCCTCCTCCACTGGGGGGAAGGGGATGCCGTGGTGCTGGCAGTACTTGGCAGTGGCCCTGATGGTCTGACAAAGGGCAATAGGCTCCTGTCTCAGAATGCTCAGAAACCCCCTGGGACCCAGAGACCCAACAGAACCTCAGCCAGGAGTGCAGACTCACGGCCAAGCAGGCGCTGGCTTGGAGGGGGCAATGCCTTCTAACAAGGAGAAAGCGCCCCCTCTTGGCTGCCCACCCGGGGATGGTGTTCCTGCTGTTCACAAGCTTGGGAGTGACCCTAGGGGCTGGTCACACTGACTCAGGGGGTGAGAAAAAGAGAGACCAAATGACGGTTTGGACCTCAGCTCTGCCACAAATGACATGGTCCACACCCATCTCATCAACACCACAAGAGACACCATGCTATCACCTCATAGTGGGCATGGACAGTGACTTAGACACCCTAGGCCAGTGCTGCTGCTAGTGATGGCAGGTCAGCTACAGGGTGCTTTGACACTGTCTAGTTGCTGCATTGGAAGTAAATGTGGTGGTCGGCTTTCTGTTACTATCACCAAATACACAAAATAACCATTTTATGAAGGCAAAAGTTTTACTCTGCACCATGGATTTAGAGGTTCCAGCCCCTGATCCACTGGCCTGTGGCTCTGAGCCTGTGGCAAGGCAGTGCTTCATGGTAGGAAGCAGGAGGGAGCAGAACCACTTGCATCTTGAGCCACAGAGCAACAAGAGAGAGGGGAAGGGCCAGCACCCCACATCCCCTGTGAGGACACACTACCAATGACCACTGAGCCACACCACCTAAGGGTTCTACCACCTCCAGTGTGCCACTATGGAGATGAGCTTCACAGGGCTCTTGGGGACAGTCAAGGTCCAAACTGTAACAGTAAGGAAAAAGAAGCAAGCCAATCTATCTTTAATATAAATTTTAGTAGATCCAATATGCCAAAAGCATGGATAATCAATATAAAATGGTGGACAAGGTCTTTTATATTTGTTGTCTTCATCTCCTCATTAAAATCCGGGGGGAGCCTCACACGCAGCACATCTCTCTTCAGAGGGCGCACATCTGAAGTGCTCATTGTCACAGGCTGCTGGTGGCACCAAGGTGACAAGCAGCTTTGTGCCATGTTCTCTGAAGTTCCACCTTAACAGGCTGCTGTTTTGGTATCAGCACTCCTGCTCCTTTCCGCACCCCCTGGGAGCAGCAACCTTTCTGCTGAAGATCAGCTAAGCACCCGGCACTGTGAGGAGCCTTTGCAGACTTCACTAAAATGGGTCATGCCATCCCCATTTTGCAGATGAGAAAGCCAAGGCCTGGAGGGTGAGCCCACTGCTCAGGGTTACACAATGAAGATTTGAGAGACTGACTCCCAGGACCCTGGTCTTTCCACCTTTGCCACAATGTCTGGAGATCTTTATTTCAGAAGAAATCCTGGAACCTGGAAGCCTGACTAGCCCAGGTGCAAAGGCAGAAGACAGGGGTAGAGTGGCTGGCCCTGGCAACCGTGAGGGCAGGGGTGTCTGTCCACACTGTAGAGATGCCCACTGGTGTCTTTATGGGTGTGCACCGTCATATCATACCACACTGAGTGGCCACCATCGCGTGCAGCATGCTATACTGGAGTGTACTACAGCAGAGGTATGACTGCATATTACAGAAGTGTATACATTTGGTGGGGTACTGGGGATTGAAGTCGAGGACACTCAACCACTGAGCCACATCCCCAGCCCTATTTTGTATTTTATTTAGAGACAGGGTCTCACTGAGTTGCTTAGCACCTCAATTTTGCTGAGGCTGGTTTTGAATTCAAGATCCCCCTGCCTCGGCTTCCCAAGCCTCTGGGATTACAGGTGTGCACTGCTGTGTGCAGCTTGTGTTTGTATTTTTAAAGAAAACATTTGCAAGCCCCATATTAAGTGGCAGGTACCACAATAAGAACCTCACCAGTACCAACAGGTGTTGACAGGTGCAGTTCCTCACCATATAGTGACACTTGGTTGACAACAGATCACACATCTGATAGTGGCCTCCTGAGAAGATGATGGAGCTGGAAAGTCCCCATCACCTCTGCTGTCACAGCTGCCATGATGCTGTAGCACAAGGCAGCACTCGAGTTGGTGGTGATGCTGGGGTAAACAGACCTACTGTGTTTTCGATTGTATCAAGAACAGCACAGCTAGGCATGGTGGCGCATGCCTGTAACCCCAGCTACACAGAAGGCCGAGGCAGGAGGATTGCAAATTTGAAGGCAGCCTCAGCAGTTTAGTAAGGCCCTGAGCAACTTAGTGAGACCCTGTCTCCAAATAAAAAGGGCTGGGGATGTGACTCAGTGATAAAGTGCCCCTGGGTTAAGTTCTCAATTCCCCAAAAATAAAAAGGCACATACTATGAAGGTGAATGACTCCCTGCTGGTTTCTGTACTTACTCTGCCTTGTACCATTATTTGGGACCTATAAAAAGGTTACTTCAGGTGTCCACCCCTGTGTGCAGCAGCAGACTCCAAAATCTCATGTACCTGCATCTCTTGCTCACCTGGAGAAGCTACATGGTGGGTATGAACAAGACTACCCGTCTCAACTGCTGCAAGGACCCTCTGAGACATTGGCAGGAAGCTGAAACTGTCCCACTGCATTTCCCAAAACATGCCCCCTGGGAAGCTGAGGGGTGTGTAATTTTAAAGACAGTGTTTCGAAACCCCCCGCTGTGTGCCAGGCACTGTGCTGAACGCTCCAGGTATTAATTTAATCTGTGTAACAGCCCTGAGAGGAGGAATCCATTTTGCGCTTGAGGGAACTGAGGCACACGGAGGTGCAACAGCCGCTGCAGGCGGCCGAGCCGGGCAGGCAGCCGGGACAACCGAGCAGCGCACCAGAGAAAGGAGAAAGGAGCTGGTTGCCGAGGCCAGTCCGTGAAAACCACGCTTGGGTTTTCTCCCACTCAGCAAGGGCTGCTGAGAGCCAGACCCCGGGAAGCCAAGATGAACGGGAAGAAATGGCCTCGGGTTGAGATGTGCGCACGGGGGAAGCAGGCCCCAGTCAAACTAGCACAGGTCCGGCGGGACCCGGAAGGTGCTAGAACCGCCTGCCCAAAGAGGGGTCCAGCAAGGTCTGGGCTGGATCTAGAAGCTCAGAGGCCGGCTGGGGGTCGCCAGACCCTGAATGCATCAGGACCCAAAGGCCAGTGGATTTGCCTGCAGCACCCCACTCCGCCCACTTCCCAGCTGCATCCGGGTTCCTAGCTGCGGAGCTCAGAGCTTGGCCTCCAACCAGGACCACCCAGGGCTCCTCCCTTACCTGGAAAGGATCCCCCGCGCTGAAGTCGAAAGAGAGGATGAGATCAACTTGCCGAATTGGGGGCAGAACGAGCGGGTAGGGGGTGTTGATGGCGAATCCTGCATCGACCAGGTGCAAGAGCTCCCGAGTGTGCATCGCCCGGTCTCTGACGCCACCTGCGGTGCCCAGGAGGAGAACAGTGAGTCCTCACCTGCCAGCCTCTCTCCTAATGTGGCCTTCCTATGGAGACTGTGCAGCTTGGTGCACCCATGCAGCTGCAGCCCTGTCCTCACGAGCACCTGGAGAGGGGGCCAATGCCCAGCCAAGGTTCACCACTGCCAAGGTTTCAGGGTCCCCAAAGGCTCCTGTGCTAGAAGCCTAGTCCCCAGTGTGACTGTGCTAGGGTGGAGGGACTGATAAGAGGTCAGGCCTCGTGCGTGGGAGGTTATTAGGACCTGGAGGCACCATCCTCTTGGGGATTCATGTTGCTCTCACAGAGTGAATTATTAGTCCCAGAGAGAGCAAGTTGCAATAAATTGAAGCCACTTCACATACTTGACCTCTCCTGCACATAGCCATTTCCCTTTTTTATTCTATGGCATGTTATGGTACAGCCAAGCAGGCTGTCAACAGAGGCTGAACAGATGGGGTCACCTGAACTTGGGCTTTCCACCTCTCAAACTTTGAGTTGTTAAAATCTCTTTTCCTTCTAAAGTACCCAGCCTCAGGTATTTTGTTAAAGCACCAAAAAAAAAAAAAAAAAAAAATGAATCAAGACAACTTCGAAGCTACACACAGCAATGACCAAGGAGGACACAATTTGGACCTTCCTTTCCTGAAGAAGGCACCTTCTTGATTTGTACAAAGGCAACAGTGTCCAGAACACAAAGATTCCCACTGTTGTCTTATCACAAGAGTTGGGACCTTTCCCAGGAGCAGGGGCAGCAATGCCCTGGGAAAGGATGTTCCTCAGTTATAAGAGCAGAAGCTTCTGAAGTCTTACAGAGCCATCTCTGGGCTAGAGTTCTTTCTACCCACATGGTGGGGCTCAGCCTGGGAAAGCACAGTCCATGCCAGCCAGATCCTATGCCTGACCAACAAAGAATAGAGATGTTGCTGTTTGTGTCTTTTCAGAGCCAGAGAAAACCATCAGCTCTCAGGGACGAGGACTTCACAATGTCTCCATGCAGCCACCAGGCCACAGGTCCCTCACCATGGACCACCACCCTGGGGAGGTTCCTCGCTTCAGACCAGCCAGCCCTGCCAGCCTCTCCCCAGCCCCCGGGGAAGGATGAGTTGAGATTTCCTGGTCCCTGTCCCTCCCCATCCCATCCCCATAGGCATCAAGGAGACAGAACAGGGGCTTTCTCACCGTGTTCATGCAGGAAGTTGTAGGTGGTCCCCCATTCCCACTTGGAGCAGCATATAGCAGTTTTAAGCAGAAAAACAAAATAGTCCCAACATGCAACTAGAGGGAGGAACGGAGAGAGCCAGGGTGAGGGCTATGAGATGGATTTTGTCCCCACTGCCCAAAGTCTACACTGAAGCCCTGTATGTGGAGATGGGGCCTTAAGGAGGAAGATTGGGCCAAATGAGGTGGTAAGGGGATCGCTCATCCAGGAGGACATGTGTCCTCATTGACGGGAAGGGACACCAGGGACATGTGAAAAGCAGGGCCACACAGCACAGTGAGCAGGCCTAGGAGAGGGACCTGGGAGAAGCCACCCTGCTGGCGTCTTGATCTAGGACTGACTCCAGCCTCCAGGACTGTAAGAAAATGGGTGTCTGCTGCTGGAGCCACCCAGACCGTGGGCTTTTGCAAAGGCCACCGGAGCTGACTTGTATCCAGAGACCAGTGGTCCTGGGTGTCCCTCAGGCCTCTGTGGCTGGGCTGCAGATGGTGCTACTGGGCAGCTGCGGTGAGGAAGCGGGAGAGAGGGAGACATCTGGCGACCCTGCAGCTGCCCCTGCAGAGGGTGGGTGACAGAGCAGGGAGCATTGGCGGCCTGGCACTCACCCGTCACTGATGTTTGCACTGTCCGTATGGGGTCCTGCTCTTGCCTCTGGAAGCAATAGGCCAGGTATTCCAGGAACTGCTCCTGCTCTTCCAGGGAGATCTCGGTCCACCTCTGGATTATCTCAGTCATCCAGCTGTGGTGGCACTCATCTGCCCCAGGAGACCCAGGAGGTGTCACACAGGAGAGCCATAGTGCTGTCCACTCAGCCCTTTGAGGACGCCTGACAGCGCCTGCAGTTCTTGGTGGCCTCACCCTAGGCGGCCCCCTGCCCCACACCCCCTTCTGGCCCAGTGCCCCTCACCACTCCCCCTGCCCCCCAAAGGGCTCCTTCTTCCCATCTCCTTCCCTGTCCCCCTCCTCTGTTCCTCTTTGCAAGCTGGTATCTCTAGTATTGAGGTTTGGTCCCAAGCCTTCACCTCTTCCATCCTCCCCCCACCCACAAGGTAGGTGGAGCCCCCCCTTCAGATGGGAGTGCTGCACACACCGGCCGAGCACCCCAGGAGCCAGGCCGCCTCAGCAGGGCATATGCGTCCCCTCCCCAACCTTCATCACACTCTGTGAGGGGGACCTAGCGCCATCCCTGCTACAGAGGAGGCACTTCTGTCATGCGCTTCCCCATCTATGGATTCCCTACTCCATGGATCTCTTGTGGCAACCGTCAATCCGCGGGCCCAGCCCCATCCCCAACATGATCAACTCGTGCCATGTCCTAAAACAAAGGCTAATTAGTTATCAGCACTTAAAAATGGGAAGATTTCCTACAAAGCCCAGTTTTTCTGGCTCTTAACCTTCAGGATGGCTGTTATGTGCATTGGGGTCCGGGTGCTTGGGTCCCAACACCAGCACAAACTGTGTGACCCTGGACATGTCACTCAACCTCTCTGTGCCATTGTTTTCTCATCTGGGAAGTGGGGCTAGCCTGAGCACCCATTTCACAGCCTGGTGTGAAGACCAAACGCAGCGACCTGACAGACATGCAGAATCCAGCCTGGCACAGTGACAGGGAGCATTCCCACTGTCGAGGGTGCCTCTTCTACAAGGGCCACTGGCAGGGGCAGAGCACCCCATTAGGTCCCTCCTCCCCTGCGGCTCCCCATCGCCTCAGCCCCCTGCCGACCCCCCCCACCCTGTGAGAGGAGACTGTGAGGGTGAAGGAGGAGAGAGACCCAGCCCTCCCGCATCCCTGTGCACAGACCCTTCCTCTGCGCCTCCAGTTCCTGCTGCAGCCCCCGGAGTTTCTCCTGGATGTTGGGGGATTTAGGATCTTCGACGTAAGCCATCACCAAATCCAGGAGCGCCACTTCCACGCCTGCCCCAGCGATTGCCCTCCCTGTTTAGAGCAAAAAAATACCCTCAGAAGCACATTGACGCCCGGGGGGGGGGGGGGGGGCCAGTGGCGGGGCGGCTCAGTCCCGCCTCCTCCCACGTATTTGCTTGAAGTCACACCTGCAGTCAGTCCACCCACTGGTTCTCCCAGGTGCCCAGAGCCCTGGCCCACACACCCCTCCTGGGCCCACCCTATGGTGCGAGTGTGTGGGAGAATGAAGCCCAGTCCCTTGCTCCAGGGGGGATAGAGCCTGAGGGTCAGGCTGGGCTCCAGAGCCCCTCAGGACCAGGTGGGACCTCACCCCTGCCCCACCCCACCCTCCTGCTTCCAGAGGCAAGAGCAGGACCCCATACGGACAGTGCAAACATCAGGTGAGGTCTGAGTGGCTTTGTTGAGGTGGTTTCTGCATCTGGCCAGGAGCAGCCAGAGAGGGCCCAGGAGGGACACCCAGGAGGGACACCCAGGAGGGACACCCAGCCATACTGCTTTTCTGTATGAACAAAATAGAAGCTCTTGGCACCTTAGCCCAGAGTGGTGGGGGCTTCTGCTTTGGTGCAGCATGGCCCCCCTGCCCTGCCCACAGTGCGGCCTCTCCCCCCACGGGCCACGTCCTTGTGCTCCTTTGCGCTCTCCCTGGGAGTCAAGCCTCTCTCTTTTGTGACTCTTAGCACATAGGACATATTTTCCCTCTCAGTTTGCCGATCACCTCGGACTGATCCCACTTGCTGCCTTCGACACACCCAGAGCCCACTGGACAGTGCCCATGGTGCTGGCGCTCCAGGGTGTTGGCCTGGACTCTGATTCTGCCCCTCCTGGCTTGTGGCCTTAGCACATCACTTAGACCACATGCCTCTTGATTTTGGTGGTCACCCGTCTTGTGCGGCTCTCACAGAATGCCACAGGCTGGGTCATCTACAAAGAGCAGGAACTCATCTCCCGCGTTCTGGAGGCCCAGAAGCCGGCACCCCGTGAGCTGCTCCATCCCATGGTGGGAGGCAGACAGCAGGAGGGAGAGGGGAAGAGCAGGCCCACTGGCGAGGCCACTCCTGGGAGAGTGACATTAAGCAGCCTGTGAAGGCACAGTCCTCGTGACCTAAGGACTTCTTAGGGCCCCACCTCCCAACACCATTGCACTGAGGATCCCGTTCCTGGCCCATGAACTCTAGAGACAGACACACAGCCATCCCCAACTGCACAGCTGGCGGGGAGCTGGTTCCTGGGGGACAGCGAGCACTGAAGGATCAGCACTGGTCAAGCCTGAGGTCAGCGGCTGGGTCCCATGCCCAGCGTCCCCAGGGACTCACAACAAGGGGGGTACTTACCTTCCATGGGATGGTACATCAGTGAGAACTTTTCTCTCAGGCTGGACAGCTGGTCTGCGAGAGAGCAGAGGCAGGAGAGGGTCACCAGCTGCGCTGCGCAGTGCTCCCAAGACGCATGTAGATGGCCTCCCGGGAAGGCCTTCCTGCCAGCGCCTGCCACCAGCGAGGCCCTGCTGCGGCTCTTCAGAGCTGCCTTCCACTCCGCCCTCAGTGAGCTCAGACGCTGCCTTGACATCCCCAATTTACACCACGGAAATTGGCAAACACCAAACCGGAGGACTCTCCTGTTTCCAGGGAGCAAGCCTAGCACTCCCTCCAGATGCACGGAACTCAGAGCCATCCCCCAGCCATGGCCAATGCTGGGCCGTTGGAGGGGACAGCAGCTCCATTCAACTTTAACTAACATGTGGTGAACACAGACATCAAGGAACATCCAAGCAGGACACCTAGAACAGTGCTTGGCACACAGGAGACACCAAAAGTAGGTGTTTGGGGAAGGGCCAGTGGCTCAGATGTGAGTTCTTAACAACAGGAATGATACTTCCATAGACAACCAACGGGACCACCATGTCCAGCTACGTGTCCGGCTCTGGTCTGGGCATCTTAGACACATCAGGCATTTAAACCTCACACCTTCTGTAGGAGACTGGGAATTGCTGTGGTCTCCACTTCAAGGAGGGAGACGTTGGGTCACAGCTTAAGCAGCTTTCCTGGGTCACCAGAGTACACGAGACATAGCAAGGACGTGGATCCAGGCACAGACCTGGATCTGAACCACCATGGACCCTGCATCCATGCTCACTGGCCAATGACTCAAGGAAAGTCACTGGCCTGTGACTCCATGGATATCAGCAAAATGCAGTGACTATAGCATCCACTTCTCAGGAACATCATAAGGACTGTGTGACAGAGCAGGTGTTCCCAGTGCTTTTATCCACCTGGCCCTGTCCCCACTGCTTGAGCAGGGTAAACTCACTGAATCCTCATGACTGCTCCTATTACCACCCCATGTTATGGATGCAGAAACTGAGGCACAGAGAGATTGAGTAACTTTCTAGAGGTCACACAGCACGTGTAAACTGGGAAAACAATTCTTCCAAGGCAGCCTGCACTCTCATCACCCTGGCTGCCCCTGATAAAGGCTGAGGAGATGGCAATAATTTCAAGAAAGACAGTTTTGAGGACAATGACACACAGGTCTTTCATCTTCCATGTGTAGGAAAAGTATGGTGAAAATCCTTGTATAAAATACCTTGAAGCTTTGACCCTTCTGTTCTCCAAATACTCACCCCAAATAAATTTCCTGATTTCTTCAAGGCTGGCTAGAGCACTTCCCCATAAACCTACAGAGACGACAGAAGTCAAGTCACAGTTGCTCAGAGACCCGGGAACAGAGCACAAACCTTGCATCTGCTAGAAGGAAGCACAGGATCAGCACCCGACCCACCAGTGCAGACACCAACCTCCTCAACCGGACACCTAACGCTCAAGACCTACAACCGAGAATCAAATACCAGGACAGCATCAAATTAAAAATTTGCTGCAAAGCAAAGGAAATGATTGAGAGTGCGAATAGAGCTCACAGAATGGGAGAGATCTTTGCCACCTGCATCAGATAGAGCAGAGACAGCATTAATCTCCAGGAAAAATAAAGAACTCAAAAAAATGGGCTGTGGCTGTTGCTCAGTGGTAGAGCGCTCATCTAACACGTGCAAGGCCCTGGGTTCGATTCTCAGCACCACATAAAAGTAAAATAAAGGTATTGTGTCCAACTACAACTAAAAAATAAAATATTTTTTAAAAACAAGAACTCAAAAAACTCTACACAAAAAGAAAAACCCAAATAACTCAATCCACAGATGGATAAAAGAATTAAACAGACTTTTCTCAAAAGAAGAAATACAAATGATCAACAAATATATGGTTCAACGTCCCTGGCAATCAGGAAATGCAAACAAAACTACATTGAGATTTTTAACTTGCTCTAGTAGGAGTGGCACTCATCGAGAAGACAGGTAATAAATTGGATATGGTGGTGCACACCTGTAATCCCTGTGGCTCCGGACGCTGAGGCAGGAAGATCGCAAGTTCAAAGCCAGCCTCAGTAACTTGGAGAAACCTCTCAAATAAAAAATAAAAAGGGCTGGGATGTGGCTCAGTGGTAAAGTACCTGGGTTTAATCCCCAGGACCAACCAATAAAATACAAATAAGAATAGATGCTGTCAGGATGTGGGGGAAACGGTCCACACATTAATTACTAGTGAGACTGCAAATTAGTACAACTGCACTGGAAGGAGTGTACAGATTCCTCAAAAGACTAGGAATGAAACCACCCCATGATCAGCCCTCCCACTCCTCAGTATCCATCCAAAAGGGCTAAAACCAGAGTACTCTAGTGATATCGGCACATCAAGTTCATAACAGCATAATCCACAATAATCAAGTCATGGAACCAGCCCAGCCATCCACTCACAGACAAGTGGATAAAGAAAATGTGACACACACACACATGAGAGTTTTACTCAGCCATAGAGAAGAATGAAATAATAGCATTTGCTGGTAAATAAATGCAAGTGGAGAAGATCATGCTAAATGAAATAAGCCAGTCTCAGAACGTCAAGGGCCAGGGGTTTCTCGCACACACAGCAGGCTGCTTATGTGAGCCCTGCCATGAAACCACCTCTCCTGGGTCATCTGCTGTCTCATCAAGGAGGCCTCAGAGAGGCACAGATGACCCAGAAGTAAGAATGCACATTCCTGAAGCCCCCAAGTCCTTTCTTTTCCTTCCAGGAACACAGGGGAGCTCAACCCTCAGGAGGGACACTCCCATCTCCCCTCCACTTTATAATCTGCTCATCCCCGTCGGACCCTGGTACTGACCTCTCAGGAAGGTCAGGTCTCGCTCGGGCTCTTGTCTGACCATTCTGCCCCCCTTGAATTGGCTTCCAAAGTGGGTGGCGGCCACATAGGCCCTGAGCGCAGGGTAGCCAGCGTGGTGAGGGGTGAACTCAAACCAGGTCTCTGGGGAGGAAGCACAGGGTGAGCGGTCAGCACAGAGCCAAACACAGTAGGTGCTCAGGGGAAAAAAATCTCTGAAACACAGACTGTCAACCAGGACACAGTCTCCAGACTGCGTGGCCTCAGAGACTCGGTGGGGATCCCACCCCCAGAGCTTTGAGTCCTTATTCTGCTGGAGGCAGCTTCCTATGCCCACGACATCCTGCTGCCAGTCCTTCCCAAGCCCCCACTCCCATCATCCAGCTGCAAGTCCCAGCTGTCAGAGCTGGAGCGCAGGGACGTCTAGACGCTGGGACACAGAGGGCTCTCTGCGCATGCCAGGGAGTCACTGGGATACTCCATGGAGGGAAACCACACCATCAGATTTTTGTTCTGGAAACTTCCACTAGGCAGCCAGGGAAGGAAGTGATGTGAGACCCTGTCCAGGATGTGGTGAGGAGGGCCGTGGACTCTGGGGAGGAGAGGCAGTTTTGATGTCTTGGGAAGGACTGGGCTGGAGGGCCTTCTGGAAGGACGGGCTCCACCCCTCGGTGGGGAAACAACACAGGCTCCACATTGGGAGGAGAGACACCGAGCAGCAGCCCTGGGGACCACTGAGCCTGGAGAGGCCAGGAGATGTCCCGCACGGGAACCCCGCCCGGGTGGGAGAAATCAGGCGTGTTTGCTGCGTGGACAGAGGCGTGTTCTGCTCAGGGAGCTGGGTCAGGAGGTCTCCATCTCAGGGTCTAAATTGGAACTTCTGGAAAGCCATAGCACCTGGTCCCAGGAGGAAGACGCGGTGTGAAAGGGAAGAGCCACCCCCTGCTCGGGCCCTCCAGTGCCCCTGTTAGGACTGTCTGACCCACAGCCAGCCAGCGTGTGCCCTCAAGTGGCTTCTAGGACCCCCCTCTCCCTGAGCGCCCCGTCCTGGCTGCCCTCCGAGGAGCCCTTGCTCCCCCGGGGCTCCCCAGAGGGAAGGTCCGAGGCGCTTCCTGGCATTTCACCCTGTGCCTTCGGACCCCCAACCTCCCCCTCCCTCCGATGTTTGGCTTACTCTGGTTTTTTTCCTTCTGCCAGGCAGAGTGGAGGTCATTGTCAATGGCTGCAAATATCGGGTATGGCATCGTCCCCTCGTCCACAAGCGTCTTCATGCTGGACAAATGAGAGCCCTGCAGCTTGAAGGAAAAGTACCGAGGTTGACTGGAGGGCAGAGGGTGCCTGGCTGGCCTCACGGCTCCTCCCATTATGGGGACCTCCCTGCACAGTCACTCTGGGCTGGAATGTCCGTTCTCCCCTTTCATCTTTGGAAACCCATTTCAACAAACGACTCTCAGTGTACAACAGGTGTTCGTTCAGTGGATGACTCTAAACACAAGCGTCATGTTTTCTGCACCTCTTTCCTGGGTGCCCCCGGGAGGATCAACTGCAGCCTGACCTGTGTGCCTTGGCCCTGCCCCTGAACCTTGTGCAGGTGGCTTGGTGTGGTCACGAGGTCCAATGCTGGGGGTGGACTGCCCTGCTTGGTCTCCACACCCACCGTCTGACCGCAAAGCCTGGGTGTTTAACCATCTTACAAGATGAAGATCAGCGGGGCAAACGCAAGGCTTCCTGTGTCTGTCCTTGTGGGGTTCCAGCAACACGCGTGGCCAGGAATTGAAAGCACACATTTAGTTGGGAAATCCCTTGGGAACAGCAGGAGTGCAACCAGGTGGGAGCAAGGATTTGCCCCATGTGGGATCCCTGAAGGGGCCTCCACACAGTTCCCACATTGCATACACCTGCGAGGGCAACAGCCATGGACAGGGGTGACAGGGCCTGTGTCCACAACTTCTCAAACGCTCACACTGGGGGAGGAACAGTTTGCCTCATAACATATTATTTTGGAGGGGAGTATCTGGGAATTGAACCCAGGGCTGCTTCACCACCGAGCACATCTGCAATCCTTTTTATATTGTTATTTTGAGACACCGTTGTTGAGTTGCTGAGGCTGGCCTTGAACTTGCCATCCTTCTGCCTCAGCCTCCACAATCACTGTGATTACAGGCTTCTGCCACCACACCAGGCTTGTAACAGAGTTCAGAGGGTACAGTGCCGTTCTGTTAATGGCAGATCCTACGCTGTACAGTGGATCTCCAGGGCTGACTCGCCTCACATAACTGAAACTTTATATCCTTTGAGCAACAGGCTCCCATTTCTGCCTCCCCTCTGACCCAGGTCCTGCAGCCACTGTTCCAGCCTTGGTTTATGAGAAATAGAAAATCTCCATGGTCCACTTTCAAAATACAGTATTTAACTTTAAATGTAAAATGACTTTGGATGTAGGAGAGGCAGCTGGAGGGGAGAGCAGAGTGGAAAGTTACAAGAAGGTAACAACAGAAGGTCAAAATGCACAGCATCTTGACAGACAGGTGGTGAGAAGGAAGGGGCCACCTGGCCCTCAGAGCTAAAGGTATATGTGCCAAAAGGCGCTCCACCCAGGGGGACTTTCCTACCACAAGGGACAAAAGGAGGTGGGGACAACTAAAGATATATTTGTTTAAATAACCCAATGGTCATTTCAACGGATGCTAATGCCTAGTGGTCAAGTGCCCTCTCTCCTAATAGCTGTTGGAGCCAAAGTTTGCTGTCAGCCCCACCCTAGGGGCAACAAGCCGGTGCCCTTGCCTCAGGGACAAAGCCCAGCAGACAGCCTGCTCTGTGCGCCTGCTTTGGTCTTAATCGCTGTGCGTCCTTCTGCACATGGAAAAAAAATCTTGCCCTGCTGACAGAGCTGATGAGCCCCCGAATGTTCCTTATTGACTTCCGGGGTTACAGGACCCCTGATATTTCCAACATGCCGATGACAGTTTGACTGTCCCCGAGGCCTCCCGGAAGTGGAGCCATGCGGCCTGGATCCTCCTGTACCTGGCTCAGTTCAGCAGGTGCAATCCCAGGGACCGGCCCATGACGAGCCCTGACCTGCACCTCTGACACCAGCACCTCGGAGCACAGAGGTCTTAGGAGGAGACGGATACGTTTGTACCTTGAATTGTGACAATGGCGTCACAGTACATACAATTGTCCAAACTCATCTAGATGTACACGTTAAACACGCATGCAGGTCCGAATATTGTGTATATCAGTTACATCTCAGTGAAGCTTAAAAGCAGCAGATTAAACTATGAGAGAGAGAGACAGAGAGAGAGAGAGATCCCGACTCCATTCTCACTCTATTACAGGTCCCCTCTGTCATTTCTCAGGCACACCTGTCCCCCAGGTGACACTCTGGCAAGAATCCTATTCCCACAAGTGTTTTCAGCCACCATCCCATAGTGCAGGCTTTCTCTATCCCTTGCTCCAATGTCTAAGAAGGGGACAGTGTTAGCCCAACCCAACAGGTAAAAACAGGAGTCCATTGGAGGACTACCTCATTTTGGGCTCCCACCCCATGGTCACCCTAACACTCCTGCTCTGAGAACTGCACCCCACATGGAGGTCGCCGTGGCACCATGGACATTTGGACCCTAGGTAGCATCTGCCCTGACTCCAGATGACCGGGTGGTGTCTTCAGGCAACAAGGGGCTCAGTCCCGGGGTTGGAGGCTCTGGAGGTGAACACCCGGCTGCTGTGGGGCTGGGAAAACATGTTCTACTAAGTTCATGGAGAAGCTGAAAAATCAATGTGCCCGCACTCAGCCAGGGACAGAGGAGAGAAAGTCAACTTGGGTCCCTGCTGCCCTCAGACACCCTGGGATCTTTCCTAGAGAGCAGGTTACTTTATTCTTGGCATAAATGAATCAGAGTCTGATTCTGCTACCTGCAACCAGAGCAATATCTTTCAGCCTTGAGGCAAGAGCTAGGCACCCAGATCTGGAGGCTGAAAGCCTTAAAAGGTGTAAAGGGACATGTTGGCCAAGATCTTCCCTAGTCCTACCCCTGAAGCCCCAGGTCCTCCTCTGGGGGTGACTTACTTCTCGGGTTTGTTTGGAGACGACCAAGTAGGCCCAAAAGTCAGTCAGAGAGTAATTCTTCAACATCTTCGCTGACCAGATGGCTTCCTGCAGGCTACTGTGCCTGTCCCACTCCCTCTGGTCAAATCGACGTTTCAGTTCGGCCTCGATGTCTTCCAAGTTCCCATCCTTGGCATAAAATGAAGACATTGCCCTGGGGATAGAGGAAGCAGGCTAGGCTGTGTGGAGGGCCTGACTGTGGACCAAGAGGGCTGGGAGGGCCTTCGTCAGCCCCGCAGGCCTCCTTTCCTGGGAGACGTAAGTAAGACTGCAGAACATAAAGCTCAAGGGAGGCTTCAAACAGCCTCTGGGGTGATAGTTCCATTTTATAGACAGGAAAATGAGAGCAAGACAGAAGCGATTGATGAGAGCCAAATAGCGTTTTTCAGACTAACATTTATCAAGAGTTGATAGGCGACTGTCACAGGTGTTATCTGTAGATATTTATAACAAACCAACAAAAAGTAATATGATTATCTTCAATTCACAGAGGAAGACACGGAGGCACAGAGAGATTAAGCAACTTCTGCAAGATCACACAGGTAATGTGAAGTAGAACTGGATTGTTTCCATATAGTCGACCACCTTCCCATTATCTTCTGTAGCGTGCCTGAGAGCATCATGCTGAGAACCAGCCCAAATAGGTAGACTTTTCCAAGGAGGAACACCTGACCATTCCTAGTAAGGAGACTTGACATCCATTTGTTCAGTCAATAAATAGTTTTGCTGTTCGTATTCTACTTCCTGAGTGCTGCCCAACCTGGCCCTGTCCAACGTGCTCAGCACAGCCACACGCAGCTCTTGAGCCCTTGAAACACGACAACTGTGACTTAAGAATTGGATTCTCAATTGTACTTAATTTTAATTAGCTTTTTAAAAAATTTTTAATATACATATTAGTTATAGATGGACATGATGCCTTTTTTTAATCTATTTTTATGTGATGCTGAGGATTGAGCCCAGTATATCACATGTGCCAGGCAAGCGCTCTGTCACTGAGCCACAACCCCAGCCCCAAGTTGAATTAATTTTTCCAATTTAAATTCCCCTTGGTTCCTGGGAAGCGGAAGCACCTTTGGAAAGAGGTGGGTCTGGAACACTGCTTCTCAGCTGCACATTCACGGTCACTTCCAACAGGGCTCGAGTTTCCGCACTGGAAAGTGCTGAGTGTGAACTGTGCACGACTCTCAAAGAGAGTCTGAGAGAGGAAAGAAAAATCTGCTTACTAGTATTTGTACTGACCTCCTGCCAGACCACTAAGGTCTCAGAAGTGTTGGGTTAAAAAGAAGACACACTGTTACAGTTTGTTACAGCTCTTTCAAACAACGCTACTAGAAAATTTTATTGTTATTAATTAATTTATTGTCCTGGGAATTGAATCCAGGAACCCTTTACCACTGAGCCACATCCCAAGTCCTTTTCATCTTTATTTTGAGAGAGGGCCTCATGAAGTTGCTGAGGCTGGCCTCGAACTTGCAAACCTCTTGCCTCAGCCTCCAGAGTCGCTGTGTCACAGATGTGTGCTACCATGCCCAGCTTAATACTATTTTTTCAAACAGGGTCTCCCTGGGTTGCCCAATCTGGTCTCCAACTCCTGGACTCTAAGTGATCCTCCTACTTCAGCCTCACTAGTACTGGGACTATAGGCTTGGCACCACTGCACCCGGCTTGAAAATTTAAATAAAAGGTGCAGCTTAGGCTGTGTTTCTATGGGATGCATTGCTTACCATTGTCACCTTGTTTACCACAGCCCTCAAGCCTGTTAACCTCTCTGACATTTGTGGAAACCAAGGCCCAAGGAGGTGACATGGGGCACATAACAGCTCACAAAGGACAGCTCCAGGAATTTAAGGCTTCCTCCCACCCACAGGCTGCAGCACCTGCACCCTGAAGGAGATGTTGCCTCTCCTGGGGCAGCAGCGCTACCTGGGGGTAGCCACAGGGCAGTTCGGCTAAGCCCTGTGCCCTGTGGCTGGGAACCTGGGGCTCTTAGGTGTGAGAGGCAGGACCAGCCTCGCCCCTGAGCTCTGTGTCCCTGTTCTTCACCCTAGTTCTTGCCATCCGTCATTAACCTCCTCTCTCACTCAGCCCCCAGCCAGTCCAGCTTCACCTCCCGCACTGAAAACGTGCCCACGTGGACGAAGGTCTGCCCTGGGCATAGGAGCAGGCTCTGAGTCCCCTTCATCCCTGCCATCTGGGGCCTCCAGAGTGAGCAAGTCCCCCAGACCTAATGCAGTGCTCTGTCATAAAGGCAGGGGAGTCTCGAGCAGCTGTATTCGTCTCATCCACCTGAAGCGTAAAACCACTCATGGACGTGAAGGTTCATCACAGGCACTTACCACACTGCTTGTCCCAGGCCTTCTGTGGTCCAGGGAAGCAGTTCAGTGTTTGTGGCCTATTGCTGGCACAGAGCCCCTAATGCCCTTGGGAGTTCCTGATGACAAGAACAAAGTTGTCCCTTCTGTTCTAATGAAATGACTCTTGGCCCAGGGCTTCTAACAGCTTCAGGATGGGACTGGTCACCAGGAAGACCAAAGCCTGGAACTTTCAGCCCAGATCCACACCTCCAGGGCTGGGGACAAGAGGGGCTGGATATTGGGTTCAATCCCCAATGGGCAATAATTTCATCAATCATGTCTCTGTGATGAAACCTCCATAAACCCTAAACCACAGGGTTCAGAGACCTCCTGGGCTGGGGAACTCATGGAGATGCAGGGAGAGAGTGTGCTTGGAGGGCATGGTGCTCCCCGGCCCCCAGCCCCTGCCCTGTGCACCTCTTCCTCTGGCTGTTCCTAAGTTCTCTGCTTCACAATAACTTGTAAATGGAAGCAAAGTTGTTCCTGAGCTCTGGGAGCTGTCCTAGGAAATTGTGGAACCCAAGGAGGAGGTCATGGGAATTTATAGCCAGTCCCTCAGAAGTCCTGGTGGCGCAGAACTTGGTGTGTGACATGGAGCCAGTCCTGTGGGGCTCAGCCCCTTTTGCTGATGGGATCCCACGCCACTCTGGGTAGACAATGTCAGAATGCACGCAATTCGTGGGACACCCAGTGGTGATGGAGGCTTGGGGAAGAGCGCAGGAAACATCAGGACAGTGGTCACCAGAGAGTGGGAGGGTGGGGAGGCAGGGACTGGGCAGAGGCTGGTAACAGGAAAGAGTTATTGCCAGAGAGGAGTGAGTCCTGGTGTTCCATCACACAGGGGGGTCCAGGCAGCGAGACTGTATTGTGTCATTCAAAATAGCCAGGAGAGAGGACTGGAAATGTTCTCAACCAGCAGAATTGATGCATATTGGAGACGGGTGGATGATCTAAGCATCCTGAGGGATAATCACACAATGCACCCAGGTACCAAAGCGTCACACTGCACCGCATGCAGACATATCATTATTATCTGACACTTAACCCAGTGAGTCCCAGCTTCCCAGATGTCAAACACGCATAAAAACTTAAAGAGAGCTGAGTGCCATGGCACACATCTGTAATCCCAGCCACTCAGGAGGCTGAGGTGAGAGGATCTCAAGTTCAAAGCCAGCCTCAGCAACTTAGTGAGGCCCTAAGCAACTCAGTGAGATCTTGTCTTTAAATAATAAAAAGGGCTGGGGATATGGCTCAGTATTTGAGCTCCCCTGGGTTAGATTCGTGGCATTTAAAAAAAAAAAAAACCTTAGTATAGCATATAATACACAACATATCTACTAATTATATAATAAAAATGATTGTGTATAATTATAATAATAATACATACGATCTAAATTTTATTTCCAACCTATTTTAATACACCAGGGCAAAATTTATCGAATTTTTACAAAACTGAAAACTTGTGACTTAATGGGTTAAAAAAAAAAAACAGAAAAAGAAAAGACAGCACACATTTAGTTATCAGAAGGGAAAACCTTCTTCACCCTCCTGACCAATCGGAAGTGCAGCCAACTCACCAAGTGGACCCTGAGACACCCGCGAGGTAAGTGACGACATCCAGCATCCCGTGTCGCCTCAGCTCGCTCAGGACCCCGAGGCAGGCGATGTGGGCGCGCAGCCCTCCGCCAGAGCACAACACAGCGATGACTGGAGCCTGGGCATCAGGAAAGGCCAGTTAGAGGGTCTGCGCCTGGGGACGAGGCTGTCCCTTGGGCAGGGGTAACCTGTGTCTGTTGCCACCACTGTGGAGGTGCAGGTGGGTGTCCTCCTATTTCCGCCCCTGCCCCGCGGGGCTGAGAGGCACCCCAGAACCCTGCACAGGGGCATCGTCGGCCCAGGAGCCTCCCTGTCCTCACCTGCTCTGCCTGGATGCACAGTCCATGTAGAGCCCTCAGCACCTGGTGGCTGCGTTTCTGCACCGCCACCCTCTCTTCTTCCTGGAGCCCGGGGATGATGAAAACCCCAGAGCTGACAGGGAGGAAAAGGAACAAAACACTTGAGAAGCTTCGCCCTGAGAGAAAATGAATAAAACTATCCAGTTTATCCAGCATGACGGCGGCCGGGGGTAGCCACCAGCCACCAGCCACCAGCCGGGAGGTGATGGAGCAAAGGTGCAGAGAGCACATGGAACAGGCAGAACAAAGAACCGCAGCTCTCTCAGGGATGACTCGCTACAATTACAATATTTTAGATCAAATGAGTATAAATTCAATTAGCCCTCAGCATCAGCAGGCTCCACGTCTGCAAATTCCACCAACCTCAGGTCAGACACAGGGGAAACTGAGGATGTATATACGTTTTTCTTGCCATTATTCCCTGAAGATACAAGGTGACAGCATTTACATTGTATCAGGCTTTGGAGTCATTGGGGATGATTTACTGTCCACGCGAAGGTGTGCTCAGGTTATGTACCAACACTACACCGTTTTGTATTATGATTACATTATATTATTATTAATTATATTATATTTCATAAACTATATTGGAGCATCCAGGGATTTGGGGGGGTTGATGGTGGTCCTGGAACCAGTCCCTTGTGGATACCAAAGGAATTCTTCAGTAGATTATTAAGATTAATAGCATGGCTAGGCATGGTGATGCACCCCTGAAATCCCAGGGGCTCTGGAGGCTGAGGCAGGCAGATTGCAAGTTCAAAGCCAGTCAGCAAAAGCAAGGCGCTAAGCAACTCAGTGAGACCCTGTCTCTAAAGAAAATACAAAATAGGACTGGGATGTGGGTCGAGTGCCCCAGAGTTCAATTCCTGGTACCAAAGAAAGAAAGAAAGGGCAAGGTGCAGCCCCCAGTGTCGAACAGAATTGCCACATGGTCCAGCAGCTTCATTCCCAGGTGCACAGTGAAAAGACCTGGAAACAGGCGTTCCTGAAAAAAGTGTGTACCCGCGTTCACAGCAGCACTTCCTGTAACAACTGACAGAGGAACACAACCCAAAAGTCTACCAAGTGACAACAACTGAGCATAGTGAGTTCCAGCCACACGTGGAGACATGGCTCAGCCCTGAAGAACCTGTGGCCCAGGTTGGAAACACCACCGCAGGCAAGGGCCAGATCCTGCTTGATCCACCTGTACAGGCAGATCCAGAGACAGGAAGCCGCCCATAGGTGCCAGGGTTGGGATGGAGATCAATGAGTGACACTCCATGGTACAGACTCAGCTTCAAAAATGGCCAGAGTGAGGTGGAGGCGGTGGTTGGACCACATTGGTATGTTCTCAGTGTCACCAGATGATTCACTTTAAAATGGCTTCAAGGGGCAATTTTATGGCGCCTGTATTTTTGTGCAATAAAAAACTAAGTAGACAAAACAATTAACACCCGCCACCTATTTCCATCTACTTTTTACAGTACAGTTACAAAGCATTAAATTGCATGTGACTCACCTGTTTTCATTGTGTGGGGATGATGTGCAGGGCTGCCCGCAGCTCATCTTGTGTAATGGCCTCTATCTATTTTATTTGAAATGTTTTCCTTGATCGCCGCACGCCCACTTCCCGTTTGGCAACAGGTTGAAGAAGACGGTTTGGGTTCTGGAGGGACCTCTAGCTGGGGGGGGACGATTCCAGATGAGGGTTCCCTAGAACAGATCAGATCCTGGAGCTATCCTCCCTGCGTGCTTCGTTGCCTAACCAACATCCCAGTACCCAGCAAAGACCTGGGGTGGGTGGCGGGAGGGAGAGAGGGTAACTCAGTCCTCTGGCAAATTTGCTGAAAGCTCTTTGGAGGAACTGTCATCGGGCTCCCTGGCTTTGGGCCGAGTGTGTTCTTGTCAGTTAATGGCCTGTTCCTCAACCCACAGGACAGAGGTCCCCTCAAACCATCTACAGTAACATGGACATTCCCAGGATGAAGCTAAGCCAGGGGCCAAGGTGTGTCTTGAGCACACCTGTCATTTCTGTAGCCATTGCCCACCTGGAGCGCGGCCCACACACATCCCGGGTGTCATTGTGCTCCCACATCTGTCCACCATCTACCTGGAGGTACAGGAGACTGTCACTCCCTGGTGAGCAGGGTGGGCGACTTGGTGAGACCACACACCCCAGCGTTGCAAAATCAGCTGGCTGACCCCCCCATCAGTCCTGGCCTTGTCCTAATCCTGAAGTCCCTTTTGTGTGAAAGGCCCCTGTGAGGACATCTCATGTCCCTGCATGTCCTGCTAAGATACCAGCTGTGAGAGACCTTGGCAGTGGGTCACCATATGGGTCACTGCCAGCCTCCCTGTGTCCTTTTATCCACTGAACACCCTCCTCCTCCATGGCAGGAACTGGATGAAAAAAAGACAAAATTCTGTGGGTAAAATCAACTGTGTGGAAGGAATTACCAGGGGAGTTGGGGACTAACGGTTGGGGACTAGCAGGGTGACAGGGCTCCCATACGCCATGTAGAATGTTTAAAACTTGGCTTAATATTTTGAAATTCTGTTTAACAGTTGATCTGTTCTTGTGCTAGTGCCTTTTAAGAATGAAATTCTTCCGAGTTTTCCATCACTTATCTGTAAGCTCCTCCCAGGGGGACCCACCCTTCAGGGTGGGTTTGCTGGCTGGCTTCCATGACATAATCACAAGGGGAAAGTTTAAGTTTTGGCTACTTACAGATTGTGGGGTGCCCAGCAGATCCTGAGCTCAGTAGAGTGGAGAGAACAGCAACCAGCAGTGCGAAGCAAGGACAAGGGAAATGCCTGAACCCCACATTTAAAGGAGCCAAGAGGAAGCCAGAGCCCAGCCAATCAGGCAGGAGAAAGGCCTTTATCTTTGGCCACCTGCCTGGGTCACTTGGGTGTGGTGTACTCTTGGAAACTGCCTCCAGGCTGACTTGAAAAAGCCCAACCTACAATTAAAATAGATTCTGAAACCACTTGGAACTCTAAGCACTCAGGACAGTGTCGTACTGTAAAATAATTGCTATGTATTTTAACTCTCTTACAGGGCAAACTCCATGTCCCCATCCACACCCCCAATTCCTCTTGTTTTTCAGAATTCTCTCAGATATTTGCTCATGTTTTGCTGCCAGTAATCTTTTCTTCTCGCAGATTTACTGAGTATCACTGAAAAATAGATATTATTTTTTATTTGTTTCACTGTCCTAGAGATTAAACCCATGGGCCTCCCCAGCACTTTGATTTATTTATTTGTTTAAGACAGGGTTACTCTGAGTTGCTCAGACTGGCCTGTAATCACAGTGGCTTGGGAGGCTGAGGCAGGAGGATCACGAGTTCAAAGCCAGCCTCAGGAAAAGTGAGGCACTAGCCACTCAGTGAGACTCTGTCTCTAAATAAAATACAAAATAGAGCTGCGGATGTGACTCAGTGGTCTAGTGCCCGAGTTCAATCCCTGGTAACAAAAAAAAAAAAAAATCCACAACCTATAAAAGCACTTCTTTTTTGAGGGCAGGGGGTACTGGAGATTGAACTCAGGGTACTCAACCACTGAGCCACTTCCCCAGCCCTATTTTGTATTTTATTTAGAGACAGGGTCTCACTGAGTTGCTTAGTGCCTCAATTTTGCTGAGGCTGACTTTGAACTCGCAATCCTCTTGTCTCAGCCTCCAGAGACGCTAAGATTACAGGTGTGCACCACTGAATACAGCCAAAAAGTACTTCTTCATAATACATTTTATAAGAACAACAAAGCCTGGTGCGGTGGTGCATGCTGGTTATCCCAGAGGCTCAGGAGGCTGAGGCAGGAGAATCTCGAGGTCAAAGCCAGGTTCAGCAACAGCAAGGCACTAAGCAGCTCAGTGAGACCCTGTCCCTAAATAAAATACAAAATAGGGCTTGGGGTTGTGGCTCAGTGGTCAAAAACATTTTTATCCATTAGGTCGAAAACATTTTTAGCCGTTATGTGTTGCCAAACAGGGTGTCTTTAGCAAGAACTGGGTCACATAGGCTGGGTTTTCTCATGCGAGAAGCATTTCTTATATGAAATGCAGTCTCACGGTAAGATGGATTTGTCTGGCCAAGGCACATATAGTTTGGCCCATAACAAATGGAACTCCCCTAAAGTAGTAGGTAGACATTCACCCCACAAGATGGCAACATCAGGAATGGGAGCTGTGGACACTGGGTACAGGGTGGGTAGCAGGTGCCCCAGCTGTAGAGTCCAATGACATGGCTCAGACCCCTGAACCTTGACCTTTTCCCTAGTTGTCCCACAATAAAGGGAATTGAAGATCCCTCTGGGGAGCATCTTGGAAAACGATCTAACTCAGCACAGGCCTTGAGATCCTTTTATCTGTAGGAGAAATGAAGAGGGTTTACATCAGGAAATGATTGAGACTGTGCTTCTAGGCCCCTCTCTGGTGATCTAGAAGGGGGTCTCACCAAACCTGCTGACTGGTCATCTGTGGATCTGGAAAACAGCTGATTATTATCTTGAATCATCAGTCTTAAAGGGTGGGAGGGAGATTAGGGGAGTTTGGGGTAAATCAATGTTGTGCTGCTAGTTTTGGAGAAACATTCCTGAAATGATCAATGAGAAAGGCCTGGGGAGGGCTGGGGGGCTGTGTGCTTGGGGAGGCACAGGGACTTTCTATGAGGAAAGATGTTGTCCACACAGAGCTCAATGACACTGGGAGACCTATGACACTGCTCAGTCGTGTGACTTCCAAAACTGTCAATTTTCAAAGTCAAATAAAAGCAAGCAAAACCAGAGGGTTTACTTCGACTTCTTCCTGCTTCATTAGGACAGACACTCTGTTTTCTCAAAGACAATACTGCCACCTCCTCAATGTTCCACCATTGAGTGGGACTCACAGTTCACTCAGCAACATGGATGGCCTAGGGCTAACAATTTCCTAATGGCCAATCTGGGAGAGCACCATTCTAGGTGCCTTTTATGTGTGACTCATTGAATTCTCAAATGGTTTTTAAAAAACTACTTTTGTTTGTATTTTGTAGAGAAGAAAATAAAAAGCAGAAATTGAATGACCTCTGAGGGCCACAGGCCATGAACAATGTACCAGCCCCACCCTCTAAGTGCTGGACATGGATATGGGCACCAACCCTCTGGGCCCTTTGGCGAGGGCTTACCTGTCTTAGGAGAGTCAGCCAGGGAAGCAGCACCAGCCCCCTCACTTGCCCCACACTGAGCACCACTGTAGTGACCCAAGCTGTTGCCTTTTCTGTTGCTAAAGAGCAGGGAACTTTCACACTGAAGCAGACTGGCACTGTGCCCAGGACAGCTCTGCCACCCCCAGGCAAGTCATGATAAGGGCCTTGGTGAGGCCACGCTCCAGATAAGAAGATGGCATTGCAAAGTGGGCACTTCCCTGAATGAGCAGCCTCGTCACCCCTTAGCTGTTGAGGGGGCAGAGGGCTCACTGATCTCTACCCAGAGTGAGCTGGGAGGAGGTTGGAGAAAATATGTTGTGCGAAGCAGGGACTGGCTTGTTGATGGCACAGGTAAAGGCAGAGTCTAGGAGGCTGAGAGTCCTGGCCAAATCTCAGTCTACCTCCTACTAGCTGAGCTTTGTAGCTGGCAACCAAATCCTGATAGCGACAAGTGTTTTCTTATCTGAAAAATAAAAGATCATAACTGTACTAACACGACAGATTTCTGGGGTGAGTTAAGGGAGGTAATGCGCCAGATGCTGAGGGCCACCTCTGCCTCATTTTATTCCCTTTGAGGGACCCCTTTAATAAAAAATAAGCAAATAAACTAAAAAAACAGCAATCTCCATTCATTGATTCATTGTGAATTTGTTGCTGGGAAATGGCCCCCAGCCCACTTTGTTATATGAAGCAAGAATTACTCATAGAATCAGAAAAAAACAACTAGGAAAACAATGGAGGTGAGACAAGCCCAGGCTGAAACCCTACACCAGAGTTTGCTTTGTTTCTGGCCACCTGACTGGAAGGCCCCACTGTCCCTGATGCCACACAGTAGGCTGGTGCCCCAGGCTTTGGGATGACCCTAGCATTGGTCAACCCCAGAGAGCTGTGCTGAACCCAAGGAATTCTTTTGTGATAAGGAACACGTACAGGAAAAGCTCAGGAAAGCAAACACATTGCACATCCATTATGGGAATAAGGGCTTAAAGTTGGATGTTTTCAACTGAGTCAGAGAAAGAGAACAATCAAGGGGACCCTCCAATGAAAGGACACTCCTCATCAAAACAATAGAAAACCCTACACAGAGCCACCAAGAGCACCCTTTGAGGGACCCCTTTAATAAAACTGCCACCATCTAAATCTGGGTCCTGCATTCTTCGGGTGTGTGAAACGCAAATCCCTTGGTGCTCCCACGACCCTGTGTCGCATCCCCTCGTGGAGGAGGTGAGAGCCTCTTGGTCCAGGTCCCCCCAGAGTCTCCTCTATGGCTCCCCTGCTTCAGTGGTGGGCACCCTCCCCAGGACCTTGCAAATGGCTTCCGGCTCCTCACTGTCCTCGTCATAGGCAGCCAGCAGGAAGCCCCCGTACCGGCCAGCCCGCTTCCCCCGGCCCAGGTAGGCGCCGATCACCACAAGGTCCAGGGTGTCACCCACGCCATCCAGATAGTCCTTCTTCAGCTGCGGAAGGGAGCCAGAGGTGAAGGGGACCCAGGCACCTCAAGGCTAGAGGCTCATCAGTGGGGCTGAGGAGGGCCTGGGGTATCTGGGAACTTCTGGAAAGAACTCCAGGAGTGGCCACCCAAGGAGACATGGGAAGAGCCTCCAGGCTTGAAGCAGATGTGTTGAGGAGGGGCAAGGGGCACCGAGGCCACCTGATGCCCTCTACCCCCAGTCCTCTCCCCAGGCGCCTGGGACCGTGGGTAGCAGAGTGCAGACCTCCCAAGACAGGAAAGGTCTGTGTGCTCACAGCTGCTTCTAGTCCAGGAGGTACACAGACCAGGGACACACAGAAACACACAGCGGCCTGGCCAGTTCCGCTCCCGCCCTGCTGCTTGGCCCCCTCCCATCCAGCCCACCTGCTCCCCTCCAGCCCCCACCGCCCACTCCACTGCTGCTCAGCCCCCAGCACGCCTGGCCACAGCCACAGAGCAGCCAGAGGACCCATAAAACGGTCATCAGACATGTGACTTCCTGTATGAAATCTCTGCTGGCTTCCCAAAACCTTCAGAGGAAAAGACAGTTTTGTCTTATGGTGGCCTGAGTGTATGTGTGATCTGGGGTCACTCTGCACTCCACCCCACCTTGCCCACACTGCTCCTTGCACTCACCAAGATGCCTCCTGTGTGGCCTGAGGCTGGATGAGCAGAGGACACACAGAGCCCAGGAGACTGTCTTTCCGTCCCTCCGTAGGGAGGCAAGGTGGGAAGCTCCAGGTCCTCAGGTTCCTCTCTGGCCTCAGTTCTCCCATCTGGAGAAGGTAGGGAAGTGGCTCTGCCCCTCTCCAGGGTCAGTAG